CAAGAAGAATGCTGTCCTAGCTTCAGAGCAAGCCAAGTCCTTTCGGTCCACCCTCTCACCCGTGACCGAGGCCAGCGCTGACCTAGAGCACAATAACAGAGCTTCCCCAGTGGAAACCCCCAAAACTGCAGCTCCCCTCCCCACCATCCTGCCAACCCACCTCTCCATCAGGCCTGTCACCCACCGCGTCCCCTCCCCTTTCCGAAAGAGCAAGCCTTTCACGCTGAAGGTCACCGAGCAGAGGCGCATCGCTGAACACCTCCGGCTCACGACCTCCTCGGCCATGCCCCTGCTACACAAGCCAGAAGCTCCTGAGACTCCACAGCAGCCTGAAGGCACAGACACCCACCTTCCAGCTCCACGTGACCCTTCGATATCTGTTTTCGCCCAGCCTCCTCCTTCCAGTACACCCAGTAAAGACGGGGCACCAGAAGTCACCTATGTCTCCAAGGTGCACACTTATTTCCACAGTGTCAAGCCACCCAGAGCTAAGACACCCACACCAAATCAGACCCAAGCAACCATCAGCCATGAAGATAAAAAGCCTTTTCCATCTGAAACAAGCTGCTCTGAACCATCTCCAGGGCAGATGCCCACCCCACTTGATGACAGCAAAGCCACAGCTCCCACACTAGAGCCTCCCCTCATTTGTGTTGCGGAGGCAGAGCCTCCTCATCAAGCACCCAAGCCTGCTCCTACTGAAGAGCCCATCACAGCACCTGCACCCAAGCCCAGCACCTCCGATGCCCACGCCGATAAGCCTCTGACCCATGGAAGTGACACAGAAATATCCAGGCCAGAGAGAGCTCCTGAATTACCCAAGCAAGACGGTGACATCCTCAAACCATTGACACCCAGCCCTCCCTGGAGGCAAGCACACCCAGAGTCAACAACCCCAGCACAAGCTGACAGTACTGGGGCCACCTCCACGGACACCAAGGCAGAACATGTCATTCAACCTCAGCTGACCCCCAGCTTACCAAACACCAGCCCTCCATTCAAAGCTGAGCCAGCACCACCACCAGGAGAAGCAGCAAGACCTCCCGTGTCCGGTGCTGGTGGCTGGTATCGCCTCCGGAAGCACCTGATGGTGCAGCCAGAAGCACCCACCTTCCCAGAGCCCGAGACAGACTCGCTGGCACAGGGAGAAAAGGAGGAAGGGAGCAAGGAGAAGGACAGCTCTCAAGCAATCAGTCAAGACCACAGGCCGTTTAAATCAAGGGCCACAAGGATGTGGGATGCGATTTTATACCAGATGACAGTCAACAAAGAGAGGAAGCAGCAAGAAGAAGAGAAGAAGCTGCAGAAGGAAGGAAGCTTCTTTCTTCCCCGCCGCTTACCCATCCTTCTACATAAACCACGCTTCGACGCCCGGAAACTGAAGGAACTGGCTGCCAAACCCATGACAAAGATCACCACTGTGTTCGAGGTGAGCCGGTTTAGACCCAAAGCGGCTGAGGAGCAGACCAAGAGCTTTAACAGAACAGCATCGGGATGGTCAGTCCACTGAAGCCAGGCTGCTCCACCAGCCTCACATCTCTGGAGGCTTCTACAGGGCACCAAGCAAGAGAGCACCTATGACTAGTCTTACTGCCCAACAGAGCCAAGTGTAAGGAAAAAATAAAATAAAACTTCTCCAAGCCAGCAGCCTCATGCTGTGGGTTTAAAGGTTACTGTCCATACGCATATAAGCTTAAACGCTTAACATACCGTATCCACACGTCATGAACCAGGAAAAGAAACACAAAATTGTTTAAAAAAAACCAACAACCCAAGCACTGGATGCAGTAACATGGGGAAGAGAGGGGAGACACACAGTGAAGAGGACAAACTACCTGTAGGAAAAGCCTAGTTTAGAGGAAGATGATGGAATCGGAATTTATTTTATTGTGTTTAAGAACAAGAGAAATCCTAGAAACCAAATGAGTTGATGAGACATGAAGGAATCTGTGTTACTTCACATATCCTCTAGGGACACTCAGAAATTCAACTCAAAGAGGGTACACACCATCTCCTTAGCTTCTCCACTGAAAGGGCTGTGGAGGGCACCCCACACCCCTTCACTGAGAACAAGGTGGCAACTCATCCCTTCCCCCAAGGCACAGGCAAGGGACAGCATAAGATCTAATCCATCCTGCTCTCACACAGCAGTTCTCCTGCCTAAAAAAACTGGGCACCATCATTTGATGTCCTCCTAGGTCAGTCTACTAAATCACAGGGTGCAGAAGACTAACTTTGTTGCAGTAATCGAGTTCTGGTATGGATTTTTAGAGTTTTTTTTAAGCACAGCTGGGGGTTCGTGTTTGCATGATAACCAGCAAGAGCCTGTTTCAGCCTGTGGATATCCAACCCTGTTTGTAACAAGGTGTTGTTCCTGGGCATTCCTTCTAAGAACACACAGTCTTATTTTCAGGGTAACATCATGACAGTTGCATACCTACTGGTGCCCAATGTCCTGAAAAAAGGGTATTTAAAACAAAATCCCCAACTCCGTCCATCCACAAAGACAACTGTGCTTTCTAGCACTACAGTCACCCTTTGCATCACCACCAAGCTTAGGAGCGTGAAAGCTGGAGATCAGCTATTTCTGTTTCTCAAAGGGACTTTGTCATATGCCAGGATGTCCCTACAGAGCTAATATAGGATCGCTATGTTTAGTCCAAAGAGGAAACTCGATACACAGCTCTTTACATTCTCTTCGTGTGCAGAGGATATGGAGCTGACCAAAATTTCCCCAAGCCAAACTGCTAACAGACTTAGAAACAAAACCAAGAGGCCCTTTTGCCTTTTTGAAATCTTCCAATTTTGTGATGCTGCTAACAGAAGAGCTCAGTTACAATCAAACCTTCACAGAAGCTTTCACTTTGCTTTGCCTCTGTTTTGTAGCCCCTTCCCTATGCTAAAGGGAAAAAAAAAAGTGAGAAGGAAGAATAATCCAAGTATCTCTAGTTTGGATTTCTCCAACTCCTTAGTTTTCCAAGAAAAAGCTGCAAAGAGGTAGGTTGGAAACACACCAGTAATCACGAGTGGATTCCCAGGTAAGCCTTTGCAGGATAATTCAACATGCTGCAAGGAAAGGGTATACAGAGAGATCTACCCAGCAACACAAAATCAAAAAGTGCAGCTTAAAACATATAGAATGCCTAATGCAGATAAAGATGACCTTACCACAGGGACAAAATGGCACGTTCATGTAGCACAGATAGATGGATGCGTATGCACAAGTCTCGGATTCCACAGCATTAGCGTGAAATGGAAAAGCCAACACTGATTATCCTTGGGAAACTGAATCTGGCCAGAGAAGATGGTTTCAGAAGCAATTGGGCATTAATCCACTTTGTCCTGCAGCAAGGATGACCACCCAGAAGAAACCAGCAACACACAGCGATGAGGAAAGGCTTGTGCCTTGCATCTGCTGGGCTTCCCACCAGGCTGCGGCCCCAGCCCAGCCCCACGGCACAGGGATGGAGGATGCAGCTCACCAGTGGGGAGAGCGATGTCTGCGGTGGGAAGCAGAGGAAGGCAGGTCTGCCTCCAGGGTTTAGTCCTTCTGCCCCAACAGCACAGGGCAGAGGTGTACAGCAGGTGTGGTGAGTCCTGCAGAGATGGACCTGGCATGAGAGCGTTGCAGAGGAGAGAACAGATGCCTGGAGGCAACCAGAGATTTCCACCAGCAGCTCTGCATTGGGAGCCATCATAGCATGTCCCAGCCTGAGCTGCTGGGACAGGGAACACTGCTGGGCACAGAGTTTAGTTGTTTTTCAATGTCAAACAGCCTCAGGCAGAGTCAAAACTGCCACTTAAAGAAAACCTCTGCAGCCTGCTCAGAGGTCCTGCAGCTCAGGAGGCAAGAGGAGGAGGAAACGTTGATGAGGGGGTGTTGAGCGAGGGACACAGGGTTTGGGAGCAAAAAGGCAACCATGAAGGGATCCATCAGTAAGGGAAAAAGTATGACCATAGTTCAGGGGGGTGGAGAGGGGCTGGGGAGCAGGGACCTCTCAGCACACAAACCAGCTAAAAACCCAAGACAAGAAGCAAGCCAAGATCCTTCAAGCTGGCGCAGTCATTTTGCTATTCACAGTTAAAAAACCCTTCCTTGTGAATGAGCCCATGGGGCAAGAGTGCTGTGCAATGGCTGTTTGGAGTGCTGGGTGGATCCTAGAGGACATCCCATGACAGTCTCTGGCCTTTCCAGAAAGGATGCTGGAAAAAGACGGGAGCTGAAGGCACTTTCCTTTGAGCTGCCTGCAGAAGCTCAGGTGGGGCAAACAAAACTTATTTGCTATAAAGAATTGAAGCTCAGTAGGATCCCACCTGGTGCATCAAAACAGACTTCAGGAAAGAGAGGACTGATCAAAGAGAAGACCTTCGAACAGGTTTCTGAAAGCCACACGCAGAGAAGCAAGTTGAGGATACAAGTCCTGTGGGCTCCTCCTTCTTCACATCTCAAAAGATAGCTTTGAGCAGGCTTGGGGTCGTACTGCTGCCCATCTCAAAGTGGCATTCAAGAGAGCTTCTCTTCTAAATGGGCTCCACAAAAGGAGTGAAAAACAACCTGGACCTATGCTGCACTCAGAAACCAGCTCCTTGAGGGGAAGGGGAAAATAAAAAAGGAACACAGCCCCCAGAAGAATTCAGAAACAAAAGGTGTTTTGTAGCAGACGGGGCTATTTATAAGCTTGGCTATGAAATAAAGCTGCTTTTTTATAATAGGAAAAAAGAGAACAAGCTTGTTTTCACCCCCGACAACTTCCTCTCCTCTCACAGTGCCAGATGCTGGCCAGTTGTATCCAACCATTTATCACCTCTCTCTGCCATTCCTCCTTACTGCCCAACCCTCCACTATCAGGCACTCAAGATAACACCAGGGTATCAGTTAACACAAACACAACACGAGCATGAGAGCCAAAGACTGTTTTAAGAGGGCACAGAGATGGCAGCCCAGCTCTGCCTTCCCCCTTGCCAACAGTCCTTTCTGCTCTGTGGGTCTGCCCAGCACAGCAGAGGTTCACGTCCCCCCCCACTACAACTCTATTAGGAACTGGTTCCAAGAGGTTACTGAAATCCTTCAAAGTTTTTCCCCCAACTAATTCAGGGAATTAGACCCCAGAAGCATCTGAATTTCAGGAGTACATCAGCTCCCATGCTCAGCCAGAATGACTTCCAGCTACTTCTCCTTGCAACATAAGAGAGCATAAGTAAAAACAGCCGATAGAGGCTGTTCCTTTGAACTACCAAATGCAAATGCATCTTCACCCAAACAGCAGCAGCGAAGGGACTTATTCTGCTGATTGAACTGACACAGGTATCCAGCTTCCTAGCAGATGAGAAAGAGACCAAAACAAACCCCTGCTGTGTACCTCTCCCTTCCAGCTCAGAAAGTCAGGCGTTTGCCCAGAAGCCAGGCTCCAGCTGTTATCATAACACTACCTTCCAACTCACCCAAAGCGTAGCTGGCAGAAACAACCCCGATGTCCTGCCAGAACAGAGCCAGGAGGTTGTCACACAGCACAAGGTCATACCCACCTACCTGCTTAATGAGTGCTCCAGGCGTGCTATTGCTCTGCAGCATCGTCTATCAACACCTTCTTGTACTGGCCATGGCCTGTTGCAACAAATTTGTACTTTTTGCCAGAAGTAGTGGCCTGAACAGAAGAGAAAGAGCCAAAGTCAGCATTTTTCTCCCTCGAATCAGCAGTCACAGTCAAATAACTGAAGGCAGAGGAGCAGGTTATACAGTTGTCCTTAATCACAGAGGGCTTGGACACAGCCTCCTCTGTAATCCCTTCTTGCCCCTTCCCCACCAACTCTTTGCACAGACCAACCACCACTTAACAGTGTAACAGCAAGTATGGGATGTGCAATAGGAAAGGGAGGATGCACTGCCAGGCATCATGCTGGAGGGTTCATCTAAGAGCCTCCCAAGACATGGTTGGTTTCACCCATGGCAAGAGCCATTCATTGACCACCCACTGGCACAGTGCTGACCCACAACAGACAAGATACTTTGATCTTCCTCTCCTAGCCCAGACAGTTCAAGCAGCAGCTGCTTGCTGCATTTTAATAGGCATTCCCACAAAAGCACCAGTAGGCACAAAACACCGTCTGCAAATGTTGATACTGTCTTAGGTTCATTTCCTCTTCATTTTGCATGTTTTCTTTACTCTCAAGATTAAAAAGCATAACAAGAGCAAAGTAATTCCCATTTGCAGTTCATTTTGAGCCTAGAAGGCTGGGGTTCCCAACCCATGGGCTGAGAACAACATGCTGTTCAAGAGACCCTCCAGTGTTAGTGCTTATAAAACTATTTTTGCCCCATTTTTACTAGGGCTGAAGGGATAGCAGCTCACTGTTAGGAAGAGCTTTTAGGTATGCAATTGCACTGACAGATACAGGCAGCCATTGTCCCTATAGAACATCACCATCTTCTCACTATTCCCAACCCAACAGGTTGCCCAGGCAGGTGGTAGGTGCCCCGTCCCTGGAAACATTCAAGGTCAGGTTGGATGGGGCTCTGGGCAACCTGGTCTAGTGGAAGGTGTCCCTGCTCACTGCAGGGGGTTGGACTAGATGACCTCCATGGTCCCTTCCAACTCAAACTACTCTACAATTCTACGATTCTAACCCAGACAAGGGTTCTTTGTCACAGCAGAACAAGTGCTTTCATACACAGATCCCAACTCACCTTGATGTTGGTCTCAGGTTTGGGATTGCCCTTCTGTTCCCAAAGGCTTCTTTTACTCACAATGTCTCCAGCCACAATATCCTGAGAAGATGATGTTCTCATTACCCTTAGCCACTAACGATGCCAAACACACCTATGTCCACATCCCTCTCAAACCCACACATCTGACCTCCTTTTTTATTTATAATATGACATCATCTGACCTATGACAGCTACAGCTAAAACCCATGACTGTGAAAACTTCTTCCTATTCCCAGTATATCCCATGTTTTCCTCTCTCAATCTCTTCAACAAGAGCCTGGACCAGAGATCCAAGATGTTTATTTTCTTAAGTTTGTGAACTATTTAAGACATGTTAACATCAAGGCTTCTTTTTTTTATGTGGAAGCATAAATTTTGCTCACATAAACCCAGATTTGCAATCAATGCATTACAGAATCAGCCTTCCTCACAATAACCAGAAATTGAAATTATTAAGAGCACAATACATAATACTCTGCATTTTCCATATTTACAAGATTTATCATCTTGGTACTAGATCCAATTTTGTGCTCAACCACTGGAGCTCATTCCTAGCCTCTGCAGAAGACATCCACATCCTCCCCACCAACTGATTTTATTCCCATTTCAAAACAGAGCCTCAACCAGCATCACAGATGCTTTGGTAGCTGTACCACCAAGGAACGATTCAGGACCCTAGCACAGACAAGGCAAAGTTCTGAGGTACAAAGCCTTGCATCCTGATGAAGGAGATTGGTCCTGGTGGGCACCACCAATGAGCCATCCCATAATCCATGTTATGCCCAGAGGCCAGCCCCTCTCACCCTGCCCAAGCAAGGCAAATCCCACCAGAGCCATACCTTACAGGTCGGGGACTTCACCGCAGACTGAGTTGCCACCTCTCCAGTCTCCCAGAGGCTTTTTGTGCTGGCTACCATCATGCTCGTGGTGGGAAGGTCAAGAGAGGGCTGTCGGACAGGTTTTGGAGCCTTTGTGGATGTCTGGAAAATAAATGGAAAAAGATCACCATCAGGAAGCGTGTGCTTTCTTTTTCTTCCCCTGCCTGTAATTGGAGGTCCTCTTGCAAAAAGAGACTTGTAGGATTTTGCTGGTTCCTGCCAGATGCTCCCACCCTTTAAGCAAGGAACATGAGGAAACATGGATGGGGCAGCGTGCTGAAGAAACCTCCTTTACGCTGTGAAAGGAGATAGAGACAGGAGAAAGGACTGCTCCCAGCCAAGGGGAGGTGAGTCACTTGTCACCTCCCAGATGGTGAGACCAAGAGGCAGGGTGGGAGAGCAACGCCCAGCAAAGAGGACTCTTCAGAGGGTGTGGACAGAAGGACACCATGGCAGCTCACCTCAATGGCCTGTGTGTACTGCTCCAGCCTGTCATCGATCTTTGACACAGGGAGGGGAGGCTGGCTCTTCTTTATGCTGTTACTGGAGAGAGGCAAGAACAGGATTAAGGTGATGCTCCAGTACCTCAGGCAGGAGGAGGGACTTTGAGAGCCACAGCAGGGCCCTCTGGCATCCTCCATTTGGGGGAAGGGTCCTGATTTACCCCATAGCCCACAACAACCCTAGAGATACCTTTTCTTTATTGAGCGGTGCAGCGACTCAGTTCTGTCTGTGATCTAAAGGGGGAGAGAGAAGATGAAGATATTACTTTTCTCTGTGGACCTCAAAGGAAAGTAGGTCACTTTTTGACCATAGTTCAAAATCATTTCTCTTCCCTACTCCCTCACCCAAATTTTGCTTAGCAATGCCTCGCTTGGTCCCGTGTTCCCACACTCCTCCTCCTTTCCAAGGCAGGTGAGCAGAATCCTCACCAGAAGCACCAGCACACCGCAGCAGCCCAACCAGTTTCAGGGGCAAACCAACAATGTGCAACTTGACCAACAGCCAAAAGAGCGACCAAGACCATTTTCCCTGCTCAAGGACCAGGTATCTTTCTCAGACACTTGGTTTCCTAGCCAGGCACAAGAGAGAAAGTGGCAAGTGTGGAAAGACAAGGGGGGAAACTAGAGGCACTGCCAACCATGTCTGCAGAAGGAGCCAAGCGCAAGAGGGGCACGGCCATGAGTTACTTTGGCTTATCCACTCCAGAGAACTGTACAGACAGGGCAAGCCAGCACGTGGAGCCATGTGCAAGGCAGCCCTTCAGGTCAAGCCATCAGGAAAGAGTTTTGCACATGAGGCTCCTCTGCAAGAACTTTGGCCAAGACAGGAAGGGAAGCAAACCCTTCACAACCACTGAATAAAGAAAAGCTGAAATGTTGCTAAACCTCACAGCTCTTTAATGCCCCAGAAAACATGAACAAAGAGAGAAAATTACTTTCAACTCAAAGGGGAGCCTGTTCCTTAACAGCAGATCCTCCAGACTCAAAGAGCAGCCACGAAGTGACCAGGAGCCTTCTCTCCCTGTGCACTGCTGCCTGTGCCACGGGAAACATCACCTACCTCATGAGCAGATAAAAAGCAGCACTAAGTGCTCATTTTAAGATGCTTTCAGGATGCCAGTGCTAAATTTTAGCTAACCAGAAGAGAAGCCAGGATCACAGAAAGGACACATTTAACAGCCATGCCCAAGAGCACAAGACCCATTAGAGAAGAGCACAATCACCAATGAACAGTGTGACCCTGGCTCATGGGGACAGTCACTCTGCAGGATCCCAACACAGCAGAGTGACAGATATCCCATCAGCCAGCTTCTTCTGCTGTCTGCCTGCTGCCAGCTCATTCCTTTTCTCAGTGCTGCACGAATTGATGCTTGTCTCTGAGGTGTGACTTCAGAGATGGGGTTGCTTATCCCTCTGGGACACTGATGGGCACGCTGGCACCTCATGAGGCATAACAGCACCTGAAAGGGCAATCTGGTAGAACCCTGCCCATGTCTCAGCTTCTCAACCACAAGTAGATCAACAGGAAAAAAACCTTGCCAAGCCTGCCAGAAATAATACTCACAGAATGGTTTGGGTTGGAAGGGACCTTGGAGATCATCCAGTTCCACCCCCTGCCATGGGCAGGGACACCTCCCAGTAGCCCAGGTTGCTCAAAGCCTCATCCAGCCTGGCCTTGAACCCCTCCAGGGATGGGGCTGTGCAGGTGCAAAACCATGGATGCTTCCAAAAGGTCATAAATGAGAATCAAGTTAAACACAGAGGGGCTGTAGGTGACAGCAGATCTCAGCATGACAGTCCAGGTGGGAACAAACCTTCCCTAAGCTATTTGGAGACCACCTACCCCTGCCCCGTAGGGCAATTCCTTGCAGCAAGGGTCATGCATTTCTCTGGTCCAAAGCACTTTCTGAAGGCCAAAAGAAACCACAGCTACTCAGACAACTGCAAAACTCTGAACCCCACACTGCAACCCAACATCTGCCTGCCCCAGATGTGTCCACACCTGCACCAGCCACAGCTGGCAGGGAGCTCACTGCCCACTGCAGGCACTCTGGTCTTTCTGCTCCAAGCAGTGTTTCTGCTGAGCGATCCTCTGCCAAAACACCTTCTTGGTGGTCAATGTGGTTAATTCTTAGTGTTCACACAAAGCCCTGCTAGCTGGGGCGTAAAGATCCTCCTGCTGTTGGAAAGATCCCAAGCTCATATATTTCCCGAAGAGCTTTACATGCGGCATTGTGTATTGGTGAGCTCTGGCATCACCGTTATAAAACACAGAGACTCTATTTCTAAATCCTCGCAGCAGCAGTTTAGCTCAGGTCAGGAAGCTATGTGCGTTTTGGGGTTGTAACAACAAAAGTTTCAGCACATAAAAGGCCCTGGAAGGGTTTCCCCACATTTCCCCACCAGCCCCACTCCAGGGATATGCTTTGGCCACCCCCACTCCTCTTTTCAAACACAACATCAGCACATGGCTGGCATCCAAACCCACCCTTTCTCCCCTCCTTTTGTTTGACTTTAAGAATGCTTCCCCATAAAGAGCAAGAACCTGATGGTTGTAGATGATGAAACCTTCCCCTTGTGCTCTGTTTACTGGTGCAAGAGGATGTGCTCATACAATCCTCCTGGCCAGGAAATATTGACTAAGCAGCAAAGAGCCCAGATCTAAATGCAAAAAAAAAAACCTCAAAGATAACACCAACAGCAGATTAACAGGCTACTCAGGCTCCCCACCATTTCCCTCGTTGCTATAATCAATAAGCTTAGGGCTTACAAAGACAAAAGCCATTCACTCCAGAAACCACCTATCTCTGTCTATTGTCTTTGAAAGCACGTGCACAGAACTGAGGATTTGCAGTAAATGCAACAGAAGTCATGAGATGCAATTCAGGTGGTGTTAAAAATGGAAATGTCACAAGAGCATCAAAGCAGACAGATGTGCTTGGGAAGGACACCATGCTTCAGAGATCAGGAATCCTGGTTTGTTTCAAAAAAACCTTAAGTCATACTTTCTGATTTTATTCTAAGTAAGCCAGGGAAATTCCAGTGCCTTAAGTTTTGGTTTTTTTTTTTTTGGGGTGGGGAGGGAATTTCATTTTCTGATTAAGTCCATGTGTTTTGACCAAATTTACAAGCTGAAAGCACAGACATCTTTCTCAGTGTTACAATATTCCCTGGAGTCCTCAATGAACTTCAGACTTTCATGGTGATTGGCAAAGGACACACAGAGACAGTGACAGCCTCCACCAGCTCAAGCAGGAGGACAGGAGGGTGACAACCAAGGAAGACAAGAGAAAGAGATCAAGTGATGCACCCCAGCAGAAGTGGGATAAGAGGCTTCACCACTCCATCACCGTAAGCCCTTTTTCTTCATCACGAGCGAGGTGCCCTATTGCGACAGTCACCGTGGCCCCAGGGGGGCCTGAGCACCACCAACCTTGGTGGAGCACACGGCAGTGTGGTCAGAGCACAGCTCCTCCTCCTCCAGGCTGGCAGGGCTTGGGGCCTTCTGCCGCTTTTCTGGTGTTTCTTCTTCTTCTTCTTCATTTCTCCTTCTCTTCTTTTCCTGAGTGCAGAAAATGAACAAGGCAGGAAGTCAGCTGGTCAAACTGCTTACTGTGCAATAGAAGTGATTTTTTTTTTTCCCCCCCATCTCCCAGGCTTCCTGCCTTACACTAACAAACACGTGAGCACAGAAACTTGGAGTTCACATCATCTAATTTGGAAACATCCATGAAAATGCTCATGTGCCATTTGTGGGGGCTGGAGGGGTGAAATCAAAGAAGTTTTGCAGGTCCAAGGTTCCAAAATTATATAGAAAGGCGTCCTTGCATGAGTTAAAGATTTTTCACCACCATTGAGATAGGAAAACAAAATTTCTCATTTAGAGGTCACAAGGAGAGAGAGCAGCTGCTTTTAGAATAAAGAGCTAGAAAGAGACACACACAGTCCAAACGCAAAAAGCATAGCAGCCTCAGCAAGTCAAAAATCCATCTACAACAAAAGATATTGGAAGCTCAGCCACCCTAATGGGCTCGCACGCCGCTCAAGTCCCACCTTGTCACAAGAGCAAAGAAAGAAAACCTCAGCTGGGAGCAATGTAAGATTGCGAGAAACATCAAGCCAAAGTGCTCCAAAGGTGTGATAAAAACAAGCAGTAAAATTTAGATTTGAGTTCTCCCGAAGAGCTGCTCACTGCCCATAAAACCACAGGAGCAACAGTAGCACTTTCCTTCTCAGTGTTGCAGGGACACGACTGAGCCACCACAACCTCTGGGAGCAAACACAGCACCCTCGCGAGAGGGCAGAGGCTGCCTGCAGCCACCCACGGCGGCACACAGGCAAGAAGCTGCCCAGAGAAGCTGTGGATGCCCCATCCCTGGAGGGGTTCAAGGCCAGGCTGGATGAGGCTTTGAGCAACCTGGGCTAGTGGGAGGTGTCCCTGCCCATGGCAGGGGGTGGCACTGGATGATCTCTAAGGTCCCTTCCAACCCAAACCGTTCTGTGATTCTATAAGAGCAGCACCAGCCCCAGGTCACACCATGAAATCACATCTGCATGGGCTCAACACCCTGGTGAGCTGAGTTCTTGGAGAGCAGCCCCCAGCCCTCCCACCAGCCCTGTGGAAAAGAGAAGGTCAGCCCCTCCTGATCCCACCTCCTGCTCGGCTCTCTCTTCTTCCTCCTGCTCATGGACCTGTTCTTCCTCCTGGCACAGCCTCTCTTCCTCCTGGATAACCACATTCTCCTCATGGATCTCTTCCAGGCTTTCCCGGTCCAGCTGGATCTGCTCCAGTTTGACTTCAGCTTCCCTCACACCACTATCCTCTTCTTCATATGACTGTCGTGGAGACCTAGAGGTGGTGGAGAGAGGTCAAAGAAACAAAACACATAGTTATGAGCCTACAAACACCATCAGGTGCTTCAAACCTCTAGAAACCCAATTTTATCTCTCCTCCAAGCCTACAACTTGCTGGGTGCTTTACACCAGGGCTCACAGCCACTTCATGGTCCCATCCAGGCCCAGGTACCCCGATGTGACAGCGGTCACATCACACTCCCACACTTTGAACATCCAAAACACAGCACAGCCAAGAATCATGGCAGAGCTGAAGGTCTCCAGAGCTTTCCAGCCTCACCATGGACAAGACCTGCAGGAGAACAGACCAGACCTCTGCTCAGACCCCAGGCAGAGAAGGGGCTACCACCATGATGTGGTGCTGGCTCAATGCTCTGCTCAGCCGCAGCCCGAATCCCAGGTGAACCAGCACACCCTGTGGTCCTGGTGCACAAACACAGACCTGACACTGTCCCCATGGTTCCCACCATCAAGGTGGAGCACCAAACACAGCCTCCCTCTGCCTGAGCTCATCTACCACATTAACAGAGCCTCTCGCTGGAGGAGGATCCAACCAACAGCACGTCAACGTGCTTCCCAAGAGTCTCCTGTTCCCTCGCTGAAGCTAAACCGCAAGGCTGCACGGCCACTCACAGGGGCTTTTTGTTTGCAAGACACAGTGCCTCACAAGCAATGCTGTATCTACACCTGACCCCGAGCCTCTGTTTCACCAACTGGAATAAATGACACCTCTATTCATGTCACAGCCCAGCAAAACAAAGCAGCCAGGGTCACCCCTTGGCTTAGGTTTAAAAAAAATCACAACAGGGGTTGTACAAAAGGATGTCTCCAAGGCTGCAGAGAGGAGACCCAGGAGTATGTTTAAGCAATCAGCTTTGCAAAAGCAGAGCACCCCATGCCTTTGGGCACAGAGTCAGTGGGAGCGTGTAACCCCGGAGCTCTCCCTGGTTCACAGCCATGCACCAAGATGTTTTTGCCATCTCCCTTTCCCCCACCCAGAGAACAGCTTTCTCCTCCCACCCATTTCTTAGAAAATCACCCAGCTTGCGACAGCAAGGCTAGAGAGCTGGCTAGCAGGCAGCTGCCAAAGTGCAAGGCTGACTCACGGCTCCTGCGTCGCCAGCCAGCACCAAAACATGAAAAAAGGTCAAGCAAGACTTTTCCACCCACCTCTCTGCTGCTGGGAAGGCAGCTCACAGGCCATCACCCAGCCCTCCCCACTGACCACATGGGGAAAAGCTGATGCATGTGCTGGCTTGCTCCTAATCATCCTCCCACAACAGCAAACAGGCTCTGAAGCCCCAGGTAAACTGTTTCTCTTAACCAGGATCCCAGCAATGCCTCCAGCTAAAGGGCAAGCTCATATTAAAAATTAAGGCCAGCAGACAGGATGCAGTCTACAGAACACCTTTTGCACCACAGAAATTTTGTGCAGGAGGCAGCTAGCCTGACACAGCTCCTACCCTCCAGCATGCAGCTGAGAGAATCACAGCATGGTTTGGGGTGGAAGGGACCTTAGAGATCATCCAGTCCCACCCCCTGCCATGGGCAGGGACACCTCCCACTAGCCCAGGTTGCTCAGAGCCTCATCCAGCCTGGCCTTGAACCCCTCCAGGGATGGGGCATCCACAGCTTCTCTGGGCAACCTGGGCCACTGCCTCACCACCCACACAGGAAAACATTTCTTCCTAATATCTCATCTAAGTCTCCCCTCTTTCAGCTTAAAGCTGTTACCCCTTGTGCTGTCACTACACTCCCTGATGCAGAGTCCCTCCCATCTCTCCTGTAGAATGGGCATCCCCCCAAAAAGTGTAGAACCAGAACAAAAAAAAGAAAACACGCTGTAGCACCAAGGCTCTCATAGGATGCACGAGCTGTCTTAGCTCCATCCAACAGAGAGCAACTGTCTCCATCCCCTCATTCACAGCCAACATCCTTCACAGAAAAAAAAAACAGGTTTGCTCCATATTCAGTATGGGGAATCCCGGACACAGTGATACTTGTCCCAGCTAGCCAACATCCTTCACAGAAAAAAAAAACCAGGTTTGCTCCATATTCAGTTAAAACAGGAGAGAGTAAAGTTGGGAAATCCCGGACACAGTGATACTTGTCCCAGCATAGGACACACAGCCTACCTGTGCTCTCACCACGCCCCAAGCCTGTCCTTCAGGTGAGCAAGGGCAAAGCTGCTGAAGGGATTTTATAGGGCACAGCCACCCACTGGGAAGCAAGCCCAGTTTCGGCAAAAAGCCCACACCCAGCAAGCCCACGAAGTCTGAGCCCCTCCAGCTGCCTCTCTCCAGCCAAAAGCCTGCTCACCTCCAGCTGCTACCTTTAAAGCATCACCCCCCTGATGGGCTTCAGCTGCCATGGGTGCCACCTCCTCTACTCAGCACCCTCCTGACCTGCTATAGAATATATGCCAGCATCACATAAAAACCCAAGGAGCAATTTCTGGAGAGGATAATGTAGTTCTTCCCGTTAATTCTCTTTAGAAGGAATAACAGCAGCTTTTCTCTCTGGATAAACTCTTTGCAAGGGGGTGGAAAAAGAGACAACATGGTGAAAACAGCTGGGGCTGATTCCTAATTGCTCTTACAGATGTGATAATATGGCAGCGAGGTGCTCGAGCAATGCTTGTGGGGTCAGGGCTGCAAAGGTACAGCTTGCAGAGTGGGTTAGCTAGTGTTTGGGAAAAAAGGAAGAAAGAGGTAAGCTCTATTTATTTGTTCACTGGTAAATATTAATCTTAGGCATTTTTTCAGTCTCGGAGATAAAGAAGAGGCTGTGTCATCACACAGGCAAAATTCCCTATAAAATCAAGCTGCTGGGAGAGCTGTCCCAGAGCTCCCACGCAGGTAGAGGGTGTCCAAGGGAAGTGGTTAAGGCAGGAGCTTGGTTCAGCTCAGCAAGGGGAGGGTGACAAGAGATGGGGACTAACCAGCTGGCACACAAGCACCTCTCGGGGCTCTCTGCTGCCTGTTTCCACCCCCCGAAAGAGAAGGCAAGCACAAGGTGGGCTGGGGCCATAACACCCACCACGCTGACATGAGCCAGGAAGCAGCAATAATTAGAACAGCTTTTTCGGCCGGTCTGGATTACGTTAGAGGCCATTTCAGCCTCTGCAGCCGCTCAGGTGGCTTAAATCTGCTGTTGTCACTCCTCCAAACGCAGGCGTCCTGGCAGGCTGCCATCGCCCTGAGTGCAAAGCTCAATCCAAACATCCCCGGAGCCTGGGGCAGTCCCCGAGCCTGTTCCTCCCCGCCAGCCCAAATGGCAGGGGGAGAGGGGCTGTCCTGCCCTGCTGATGCTCCAGCCCCCGGCCACTAGGCTTGACCTGGGCTTGGTCACACCTCCACAGGGACGGTCCTTTTGCTGGACACGTTGGTTCCCCCCTCCTTGGTGTCCTACCCACCTCTGTCTGCGCTGCTCGAGCTTCTGGGACCAGTCGCTGAACCCCTCATCCTCCTCCAGCTCCGAAGTCCCGGACGGCTTAAAGTCATAGCTGAAACACAGCAAGAACAAAAATGAGAGATGCAAAAAAAAACCCCAAACCTGGCCTGGAAAGAGCCCCAGCCTGATATCGTCCTTCTGTCCCTCCAGTTAATGCACTTTCTTTCCTCTGGCTGCTCCCAGTCCCACCCGAAGCCTTATCCCTCGTTACAGAATGACACCTTTGGGATGTGCTTAGGGGAGCCCCTGTACCAAGGGGGTCTCTCGGCACATCCCTGCAGGATGGAGAGGAAGAAGGAGCGAGGTCTCCGGGGCCATGCACAGGCGAGCAGAAGACAAGCAGCACATCAAAACCAGTCCATGGTTTTCCTCTGCACCGAAGCTTGCCCCAGCTGGTTTGGACCAGAGGTGCTTCAAACACTGTTGCTGCTCGTCCTATGCAGCCCCCTAGAGAAGACATCAGTAGGATGTCAGCCTGAACGGATCGCTGGATGAGGAAGGCATAAACACCCAAAAATAAGGACACTGGGTCCAGTTCTGGCTTGGATCCTCAAGTTATCCTACAGCTTTGAGCCAGTCCCATGCACTCTGCATGACCGTGGCTCCCTGCCTGGGAATATCCTGCTGCTGTATGGAGCTGCAGCCCTCCCGGGACGCACAGCTGCCGGCACCAGATGCAGGCTGGACGTGCACAGGGATAGTTGGGTTTTTTCCTATTTCTTTCCTTGAGTTCGCAAGGAGAATTGCCTCCCAGCTGGGGGTCCTGGGTGGGCAGCCACATTGCGAGGAGGTGGCTGCACAGATGGGTTTTGGGATGCAGGGCGGTCACGTCGCCTGGGAGTGGGAATTATGATGTGGGACCCACAGATTAATTTAAAACTCAGAGATTCAAAATACATAATAAATGTGTGTGAGTCTTTTCTTAGCCTTTCCAGGCTCTTAGGAGGTGTCAGGAGATGCTCAGCGTCCTCCATGACCCCAGTGGCTTGGAATATGGGGCATTTCAAGGAATATGCCCAGAGAAGCTGTGGATGCCCCATCCCTGGAGGGGTTCAAGGCCAGGCTGGATGAGGCTTTGGGCAACCTGGGCTAGTGGGAGGTGTCCCTGCCCATGGCAGGGGGTGGGACTGGATGATCTTTAAGGTCCTTCCCACCCAAACCATTCAGTAATTCTATTTCTCTGAGATTTGGGAGTATCATATTGAACTGACTGCAGGACCTGAGGGTTTGTGAAAAACACGTGCCCTCGCCAGGCTCACCACGGGGTGCGCGCTGAAAATAGCCACTCAGCCCCAAGTCTGAGCACAGCCCAGCTCCTGCTGTGCCTCAGCACCCCCTCAGACTGCCAAGCAGTGACGCTGTGGCACTCTAGGACATCACAGCCTAGGATTATTTTCTGCTGCATGTGTAGCAGCAACTTGTGGATGCCCCAGGACAATGCTCAGGACATTTGATGCAGAGCCAGGATGGGACCACAGACCTGCTGAGCCCCAGCTCAGGGCTTCGGGTGATCTGCAGCGTTGATGATGCCCAAGGCAGAATTGCTCTGGTACCTGTGGCCCCAGCCAGAAACGTGTGCTCAGACCATCAGAGAAGCTCCCAGGGAGCAAGGGAGACCAGCCCAATGCTGGTTAAAAACTGGTGGCTTCCATGTCCCCAGGGGAAGCACGGAGCCAGCACAGCCCCATCAGCACTGTTGAAGCTGACATCCCATGGCCACATGTGACTTCCCAGAAACCTGACATTTTGCAGGTTATTTCTCTTTTTTTTCGTGATGGGAAGGGAGCAGAGGAGCTTCGTTCTGTCCCTTTGGTGCAAGGAAATGCTGAGGGCGGGTTTGCTCAGAGTGACATGGATGGGATGAGTCCCAGCGTGGGAAGAGCTGAGGGAAGGAGGGGGCAGTGTTTACACAAGAGAGAGCAAAGCTTTTTGGAAAATTAATAGCCAGGGCTGACCCCAGCTGCATGAGCAAGCCCAGGTGGCTGTCAGCAACTGCAGAAGAAACCAGGGGATGGCCAGCGAGGAAGAAACATCCTTCTTGTGAAGCCTGGCCCTGCAAGCTCAAGCATCGTGGAGCAGGGAGCAAACCCCCTCATTTTAGGAGTTCTTCTTGTCATTGCCCCCTTCACAGCTGCTTAAGCACTCAGTTAAATTTGGGCATCGCCAGTGGTCCCATGGGGTCAGCATCGTGTCTATGCCCACGGGACCGGAGCCTGCTCGCAGCATCTCCCGGTATATGGTCGCTCTGAGACCAGACATCTTGTCTGCCATTTCAAAGACCTTTATGAATTATTTTCTGACTCCCATGCGAAGGGGGGTTTGGAAAAGCTAACTATTATTATGACTTTCCAGCTCTTCTGTTTGCTTTTCGGCCAGACGGCAGTGGTTTTGTCTGCAGAATATCCCTGTGTGTATTTCCACAAAAGGTTTTGAAGCTTCTTTGTAATGCTTTTAGATCCAACAAAAAAAAAAAAAAAAAAAAAAAAAAAAAAGAGTCCTGAATATCTGAATATTTTTGAAAGTATCTGAGAAAAAATTGATCTTTTAATGAAAAAAAAATTGATTTTTATAAATAGCTTTTGCTATTTTTCCAGTAAAATGAAGCTGTGCTTCTCTCTGACCATAATCTGAAGTCACACCGCCACTTTTCCCTTGTGTTTAATGTATTTAGAAAGAAGTTGAACACATAAATAGTGGGAAGACTGGAATCTTTTGAGACAGAGTTTGGCAACTCAGAGTGCAGCCAGGTTTGTGTGCCAGGCCTAATGCTGCACAGCACCCAGGCTGTGTGGGATGCTGGGGTCATCCCATCCCTTCTCCGGGGGGTTCCTCTCTGACAGCAGATAGCTCAGCATCTTCAGAAATGCCTGCCCAGATATTTCCATTTAAGACCCATTAAAGCACCAAGTTCACTTTAACCCTTGGAGGGGTGAACTGCAGCAGCTCAGGAGCTGCGCCAGGGCAGCATCCTCTGAGGGAGGAGCCTGGCCAGGAGAGGCGATGGCTTGCTTGGCCACCAGATCTGCCCGGGGCTGTGTGTCACATCCTCGGGCAGGTGTCTGTCTTCACACACATCGGGAACTTCCATTAGTTCCAGCACAGGATGATTCACAAGTTGAAATTTAACGAGGCACTGAAATCCCCAGTGACGGGGACTCCCTGCCTGAGCTCAGCCTTACCCAACCTGTCCTAGTCTAATCTCAGGTCAGTGAAACACCCAGCCTCCAGCTAAAAAAAAAGAGCAGAGCAGGGATTCTGGCTTTTTCTGCCCAAACTAGAAACATACTATCTGTTAGCCTGAGCTAAATCCCCCAACCCAAATCCATTAGGGAGCTTCCCCACCTCTCCAAACCCAACAACCGCTCCAGGGATGCCAGAGGGTTTTGCTGCAAGGAGAGAATGTGTCACTGAAGGATTTATCCGCAGGTATTTCTTACTGGTTTTCCTGTGCTGGACCCACACTCTCTGAGCAGGAGCCGGTGCCATTCAAGCCCTCTTCTGCCTGGGACCTCAGCTGCTTCTCCCGCTCCCGCCGCCGCCGCTCTCTCGCCGCCTCCTCCTCGTCTTCGACGCTCAACCGCGCTGTCCGACCGCCGCTCCACTGCGCTGTCGGCCGGCCAAGCCAGAGGGAAAACCCATCCTCACAGCAATGCCTGTGAAAGCTGGCAATAACCCCCCGAGGTGCCTGGGGTCTCCTCGGCACATGGGGGGAGCCATCCCAGCAGTGGTCCTCAAAGCAGCATCCCCGCCTCCACCAGCACGGCTCTGCAGCGGGACCGACCGATGTGCAAGGATAAGGAGACACGGAATGGGAAAGGGGTGAACAAAAGCCTTTCCCAACCCCCAGGAAGATGTGGAAGACCACTGGGAAGCACCTTTCCCTGCATCAGCAGCTTTGCACCCCAGGAAGGGTTTGGAAAGGGGTTTGCAGTGCTGCAAGAAACCCCACACCCACATACAATCACAGAATGGTTTGAGTTGGAAGGGATCTTAGAGACCATCCAGTCCCACCCCCTGCCATGGGCAGGGACACCTCCCACTAGCCCAGGTTGCCCCAAGCCTCATCCAGCCTGGCCTTGAACCCCTCCAGGGATGGGGCATCCACAGCTTCTCTGGGCAACCTGGGCCACTGCCTCACCACCTGCACAGGAAAACATTTCTTCCTCAGATCTCACCTCAGTCTCCCCTCTTTCAGCTTAAAACCATCACCTCTCGTCCTGTCACTGCACCCCCTGATCCAGAGCCCCCCCATCTCTCCTGTAGCCCCCTTTCAGCACTGGAAGCTGCTCTC